CAGTGGAGGGTGTTGAGGTTACACAGTATAAGCAGGTTATCTTCAGAAGAATACTCCGGTACTTAATTATACTAGTAATTAAGTAATCTAAAGTAGTTCTTCTCATCTCAGTCAAATTATAAGTTAAATTCTAGAGGTGAAAGGTCGTCTGATAGTTGGGTCTTAAATCTCCTCCCAGGGGCCAAGACGTTAGTGATGACCACTTTCACAGAATCTCCTCTCTGGCGGTCCTCCTCTCCAGGCTGTAAGACAGATCTTCATCTTTTCTTTTTATGTCCTACTTTCCCCCTGCAACACTTCCTTCCTCTATTCTTTAAATGTCTAGCAAGTTTGATTCCCTATTTGGTGTCTGGATATACTCTGGAGAAAATAGCATTTCTTGGTATAATTCTTTCCTTGGATTTCTTGGGAAATGCGCTGTATATATTTTTCCAAACTCCAAGAAAAATCATTTATCAAGTAAAAGGGAATAAGTATTATGATTCTTCTGTGAGAGTTCAAACTACCATCAGAGATGTTAGTGGAGAGAAGGAATCTGCTGATGTCAAGTTGGAAGCCAGAGCAGGCAAAGGTGACCTGTGGAAGTGAAGGCTAAGACTGACGTTTCTTAAAGCCAGGGCAGGGCAGGAACTTCTAGGAGAATCAGTCCTGATTGCTTGTAGCTGTTGGTATGTTATAAATATGTGTTGTGGCCCACTCTGCTACTACCATGAGTCATTCTTGCAAATAAAATAAGTTTATATGCATAGCACACTGTATACAAACCCTGTGCTTCTATTCCAAGAAATAAGTTTTAACAGCAAGTCCTTAAGTTGGCAGTTTCCATATTTGATTCTGTGTACTACTGTTAACTTTACTCATAGATTTGAATGTGGGTTATTACAGGGGTCAACAAACTTTCTAAAAGACTAGATAGTAAATATTTTAGGCTTTGCAAGCCATACGGACTATGTCACAACTATTAACTCTGCCATTTCCATGTGAAAACATCCATAGACTATATGAAAAATGAGCAGATGTTTGTTTCCAGTAAAACTTTTATTTATAAAAGCAGACTGTGGTCTGGATTTTGCCTGCTATTGGGATACTGTTCAATAATGTTTGTTGGTATTTTCCAGATTTTAATATCTGTTTTAGGCCACAATTCTTCATAAATACCACTAAGGTTATTGTTTGTTGTTTAACAATAATTTTAGAGGTCTATAGTAAGTATAGAATGCTTGGAAGTTTTTATTTGAAGCCAGATTTCTCCATGTTGCCCAGGCACTTCTGCAACACTTGGGAATAAGCTACCCTCCTGTTTTAGCCTCCCAAGTAGCTGGAACCACATACCTGCATTATTGCACGTGGTTTGTTTGGAAGTTTTTGGTTTTTTTTTCTGGTACTGGCGATCAAACTCAGGAACTTGGTCTTGTGAGGCTGGCATGGCACCATTCAGCTAAATCCCCAGTCCTGTTTGGAAGTATTTTAAGAATAACATATTTTTGGGAATTCTAGAGAAATTCCTGGAAATTCCTGTTTTTTATTCTGAAATGTAAAGATTAGTATTTGTTGAGAATTTAGAAATTCCCAAAGTCAGGAGGCTGCTGTCCCTCATGCGTACTACACTTCCTGTTTTCCAGCTTCATGTGGCCCTCTCTCTGCTTTGTGGTTTCCTCAGGATTTCTCTATGCTTAGAGCTTGTAACCTATTTTTATTGTTGTTATTGTTGATTTGTTTTGTTTTCCACTGGAATATCAGAAACTTGGGGGAATTGGCCAATAATGGCATTGCCTTTCTCCAGAATTGCTAGTAGATCAGACCTGTCTTTTCCTATATAGTCAAGTATCTGGAATAGATTATCCTTGAAAGATACTAGACATTAATATGCTTGATTGTATCAGTGATACTTTAGAGAGCCAGAATAAGAGGATGTTTGTAGTGTACAAATGATTTGTGTTATTGATTGGGTGGGATTGGTATGTTTCATGCTTTTCCTAAGACAATGCCTAACACTTCATTTATCCTAAAAGGGTAAAAGACAGGAAAGAGAACTAAGAATACTTTCTATGAACATTCAGTTCAATACTTACTTAAGACACAGTTTAACTTAGTGGTAAGTAAGAACACAGATCTTTGGAGTCAGAAAAATATGGGCTATTTTCTGGTTTTACCATTTATTTAAAAATATGACCTTTGGCATTGTTACTCAAACCTGTGTAAAGAATGTTTCCTTCTTTATAAAATGGGAATAGGACTTCCTGGCTATTTTGTTATTATTAATTAGTATCACATTACACAGTGCTGTAGCTAAGGGGCTCAATAAATGATTGTTAGTAACTCTCATAGATGATGGTGTTTCCCATTTCATGAAAAAACAAACTAACAGAATTAAATGATATATGAAGGTTACATCTTAGTGATTTGGAAAACTCAGCCTGGCTGCTTCCTAAATCCATGGTGTCCTCCTTCTTAAAGTAGTTTTGGTTAATGGCAATTCCACAGCAAGGTACATCATGTTTATTTGGATCATGGAGCTGATTGGACAAAAGGGACAGGTATGGGTTGGTTCTTGCAAGGGTAAGGATTTACAATATCTGGAAGCTACAATTTCTAGAAGCCAAGGATATGCTTATAACTGAAAAGTTGAGAAAACTTGTCCTGATTTCTTTTCCCTGTTGCTTAGCTGCTGTGTTGACTGCCAAGGACTTGTTTAAGTACCTTTTATACTAGCCTGTTACTCAGATCTCATCATATTACAATGACTTTTAAGAAGCTGTGTGTGTTCTTTTAAAATGCACTAAATGGAAATGTGCTGCTCTGTTCAATACCTCAGATTGGAATTAGAAAGGTAGATTGGATCCCCTTTCCTCACAGTCGCCCCCCATTCCAATCGCAGAAATGTGTTTTTGACCATTATGGCTCAGATTTTTACACAGCTTGATTTGCTGCCAATAGTTAAAACTCCATAGCCAAACAAATATGTTGGATAAATATTTGGAAAAATGTTTGGTCTGTGAAAGTCTAGTTTCAATTTGCTGAAATTTATTATATAGATACTTACAGCACTGATTTTAGTTAGTACTTTTTTTTTGGTACTGGGGATCGAACTGGGTCCTTGAGCTTGCACAGCAGGTGGCGAAACCACTGAGCTAAATCCGCCCCCCTCCTTTTCTTAATCACTCTGAGGATGTTGAACGCAACTACTTTCCACTGCCATTCAGGTCTGCCAGACTTGCTTATTGACATGAAGGGTGTTTGTGGAGGGGTGAATCCTTAGTAGAACATGTGTGAATTAAGTATTCAGAATTTGTTCATCACTTTAGATCTTACTTTATCAATCTTTGCTTTTGTGTCATACATCACAGTCTTATTTTCATTCTTTGGGTTATTTGAGAACTGAATGAATTTTAACACAAGTGTTAAATTATTTTTAATTTTCAGATTTGGTTTTTATCTAGAAGCTTGCGAATAATATGTGAGCTTCACCTAGTTTTAAACGGTTTTGTGACAAACGCAGTCCACAGCAAAGAACTGAGTGCCAGATTGAGTCATATAAGAATGTATCTAGCAAAGAATTAGAATGAGAAAAATCTAGGAAATATAAAATCTTCAGAGAAGGCTGAACAGAGGCAGGAGAGCTTGCACACTGACGTGAAGGATGAGGAGGAGTTCCATGCAGTGGTGATGACCGGACTGGAGTGTGTGATAATAAATGGGCACAGGGTGTGGTTTGGTGGTGAGCACTCGCCTAGATACAAGAAGACCCTCTCACTGGCCCCTCCTAGAAGGGAGAGGGGAAAACAGCCTTAGGATGAACTCACATTTCCCTACCTCCAGAATCTTAGAAGATACTGGTATTTCAACCATTCTGAAGCTCAGTCGTCTGTGGGTGCTGCTCAGTGGGAGAGTTTAAGGATGCCCACGATAGGAATGGATTTTTACTGTTTAACTTTGCTCAATGATTGTTGAAAATGGCAAATTACTAGTTAACCTCTGTATGTGGAGATCTTTTTATTGTGTCTTATTTTTAGTGTGCTTTTTACTTGTTTAGATTTTCTTTTCAAATAGAGTGGGAACCTCAGTTTAAACTGTAATGAGGAAAGATTTGATAGTATCTTGCAGAACTTTTCCCTTCAATCCCAAGGTGGATGGGAACATGTTATTTTCCACATAATCATTTAGGAGTGCTGTGTTTTGGGTTTGTTTGCTGCTTAGATTTTTTTTTATATGAAAGTTTTCTTAGCAAAATGTTTCTTGAGGTTGGAAAAAAGGTTCTATTTTCCAAAAGATGTCTGGTCTTCAGAGCTTTCTGTTACTAATGATTTGAATGGGAAAGTTTAGTTCTAATAAAAATTTCCTCTTCCTTTGGCAAATGGTGATGTTTTTCAAGTTTTCCTAAAGGAAAAGGGAGCTTGGGTGGCTTTTTGTTTTTTGTTAGTTATCTACAGAGCCCCTTCCCTTCCGTTTTGTGCATTGTTTTATAACTCTTTGAACTCAATTATTTACTACTAAGAATGTTGCTTTAAAATGGATCAAAACTAGGTATTTCTGAGTGGTTATTCAAGAAATTGTTTACTCTAATATATTATATGTCTCCAAGAGGGACCTGGGGTCTGGAAAGGGAGGAAGATTTTCACTCTACTCTTTGTATTGCTCAGATTTTTTAAAAAACAAATGCATGTAATAACTAATATACAAAGTCATTGGTTTTTGTAATTGTTTAGACTTTGTATGTGGTATTTGGACTTTAAAAGAACTTGATTTTGACATTTACTAACCGCTTACAGGGTTTGTATCATTTGTAAGAATATTTAAAGACAAATACAGACCTATGACCTCAACATACTGCCTATCAGTGCTTTCAAACTTTTCCATCCTTGCTTCATTTGTGAATTGGTTCCAGTTTTCTGGTGCAAGTGGAAAAACTTTTTAAGCGTGTGTTTTCTTTAGCCAGTGCATTCAAAACTGCAGAATTTTCTTCTGCTTACCTGATTTTTCTTTCTGCTTTCCCTCCAAAGCCCTGAGCATCGCACAGCCATAGTGAGACTGCTGGAGAACCCATCATTTCAGAAGACTCCAGAAGCACGTCTCCCACTGACCAAGTCTCCGGTGAGCAGAGTGCGTGAGGCTCTGAACCAGGAGGGCATGCTGCTTGAAGGACGTGAGCAGATGTGACTGGAAGTCGGCATTAAGGTAGCTGAGTCTGCCTTCTCTGGGGTCTCTCAGAGCCAGCAAGTAAATTACCTCTTTTAATGCTCTTTGGCAAAGATTAAGTCTACGGGTAAATTCCTCACTACAAATGATTATTTTGTTGCTTTATGTGAATTTAATGTAAGAAAATTAAGAACAACCTTCCTTAGTCTTTGCATCACTTGGATGTTAGGCTTTTGGCTGGGGAATGGATCTACATAGCTCTTCTTTACCTTTAGCCAAATTGTTCAAAGACTACCAACATTTCCCTACTTGTAAAATGTTTCTGCCGTTGTTTTCAATCTACAGGACCTTCACATTTATTTTCTCCTTCTTACCTTTCTTGCATGTAAACATTTTTATATAGAGACATTTTTATGCATAAACAAAGTATGCATTATTAATTATGCTTAAAAGTTTTTGAAACACAATTATACATTCTTGCTTTACAATTTGTTTCCCACTTTCCACTTAAGCAGAACCTAACTTCAGTGTAAGTAATACCTTCTTAGTGTTTCTTAGGTGGTTTCAACATAATAATAAATAGTCCTCAAGTGGAGAATAGCCTATGATTGGTGGGACATGAGGGAAGGGAGACCTTTCACATCCGGGAACAAACCAAGGCCAGTCCTTAAGGATGTGAGCTTACATTTTCCAGGGCAGGCCATGCAGTGCTTTGGGCTATTGCTGAAGTATTAGTTGTCATATTTTCATTTCCTGGAGGCTGTGTTAATATATATGTATAGTTGGACACATCCTTTGACAATCTTGAGATACTTTCATGTTCAGGTAAGGTGGTATGAGGTTAAAAGAGTTTTAAGAGGAAGTAATAAATAACAGGAATGGCACTAAGAGACTGACTTTATTTTGTTTATTTATTTCAGGGGAAGAGAAGGAAGAGATGATGGCTGTAGTTAATTGTTAGCTCTGTGATTCTTAAGTATGAAACAGGGTTACAATTATTTAGCTCAATTGTTTCCTAATATGGCTAACAGTCAGAATTAACAGAGAAGTCTTCCGATATCTGGTGTTGGGAATGAAGATTTGTATTTTTTGTTATCATATAAAGTATTTATTTTTAGAATGGTAATATAATCATTTTCTACAGTATTTTTGCAACTTTTAAAAATTTTATTTTATTTTTGTAGTTCTGGGGATTGGACTCAGAGTCTTGTGCATCCTTGGCAAGCTCTCTACCACTGAGCTACTCCCTTAGCCCCAAGATTTAAAAGACACAAAAGAGTGGGAGGTGAAAAAAAGTCTCTCTTCTCTCTCTGTTCCCCAAGTACCCAGTTACCCTTCTAGGCAGGCACTGTTTTCTTATGTATTCTGTCAGAGATTTCAGAGTGTAGATAATATACAAGTATGTAACCTATAATTTATTACAATTTTTTAATACAGACGGTAACAATATACAAGTTTTGTATCTTTTTTCATTAAGTAAGGTTTTTTTGGAATTTCTTCCATATTTGTGCTGCAGTCATTTTCAGTGATGCCTGGTATTCTTCTGTAAAGAGCTGCTTAATTTATTTAACTAGTATTATATCAATGCATGTAAAGATTATTTCCAGTTTTTATTATCATGAACAAGGCTGTAGGGGATAACTTTTGGCATATATCATTTCAGACATGAATAAGCATATCTGTAGGGTCCATTTTCAGTAGAATTTCTGGGTCCAAGGGTATGTAAATTTTAATTTTGATAGAAATTTATTGCCATCTTGCACTGTTATAGAGGTTGAAAAGTCTTACACTTCACCAGCAGTGGATGAGAACATTGCTTCCTCTTGCTCTTGCCAATGGCAGTATGATTGCCAAACTGATAGGTTTTTTTCCTTTCCCAGATTAATAGATGAAAAATGTCAGTTTAACATGTAGCTTTAATTTGCATTTTTCTTCTTTTGATTGACAGTGAGCAACTTTTCATAAGGGTAAAAGCCATTTGGATCTGTAATTCCCTTTATATTTGTGTTCTTCGGCTGTTTTCCTATTGTGGTATTGACTTTTATTATTAAATTTTGATTTCTTGTCCAAATAACAATTTTTTGGGGCAGGATAGTACTGGGAGTTAAACTGACGGCCTTTGCCCTGAGCTACACCTCCAGCCTGTTTTTAATTTTTTTTTCTCTTTTGCGATAAGGTCTTGTTAAGTCACTAAGTTGCCGAGGCTTTGTTCAAATTTGTGATTCTCCCGCATCAGCTTTCCAGAGTGCTGGGATTATAGGCATGTGCCATCAGAGAGGCTTCAAAATATTGATTATCATTATCAGTTCATAGCCCCCTTTTTTCTTCTTGTCATGTGTGCTTTTTGTATTTTCCCCAGTTGGTCATTTATATAAAAGTAAACTATTTTGTTGTGCTAATTATTAAATATCATGTATCAATTTGTGAATTTATTCACTCAGAAGGTATTTATTGAATGCCTTTTATGTATTAGGAACCTGTTCTAGGCGCCTAGCTATATAGTAGTGAAGAAAATAGACCCTGATATCTTCCATGAAACTTCCATTCTAGTGGAAGAGATAGTCCATAAAACATGAACAAATAGATTTATAGAAATAAATATATAAGCAGGCTTTTTGTGGCTTTTATATCAGTTCAAAGACCTTTTCTAGTTAAAGACTTAAAAACCTACCTCCTAGTTCTTGCTGGTGTGATGTTGGGACTTTTTAAAATTTAAATCCTTGATCCACCTGGAATGTTAGGTATGATCAATTTAATTTTTCTCTAGATCTTGTATTAATTAGAGTAAGGCTGAGTTGCTGTAACCAGTGGACCAAAATGTGCTATGGTTCAAAGAACATAGAAATTAATTTTTTCCTTACTTAACAATTCTAGTGTGAACAAAATGGTCAGCATAACAGCCCATGCCCATTCTGAGCCTCAGGTGCCTTCTGTGCTGTTGCTCCGGTAATTGCCACTGTGATTATCTCCATGGTCATATCTGGTCCCCTCAGAGGGAAAAGCCAAGGGAAAAGTCCATGGAGAGGCATTAGAAGCTGCAGTCATCCCTGTAGCTTGCATTGATGAGATCTCAGTTGTGTGGGCATATCTGGCTGTGGGGGAGGCTGGGCCGAGAGATCGCTGCTGGTCACCTGGCACTGAGGAGAAGAGAAGGAGGAGTTTTAATGAGAAATTAGCAGCCTCCTGACATTTGCTAGTCCCTCTAATACCTTCCCACAGAGTTGCTGCTGTCTGCACTATCTGGCCCTTAGCATCTTCCACCACTGGCTGTCTGGTGGGTGCTGATGGTGGCCTAGTCATTCCAGTTTTATTGTTTCCAGTTTTAGTACTAATTCCCATATATATTTTGGTATGTTTCTGTTATATCCATTTAGTTTCATTGATTATTCTGCCTATGCATGTACCCAAATCACACTATTTTAAGTTTAATATGATTTGCTTTTGCTAGGCGTGATGGTGCATACCTGTGATCCCAGCACTCGGGAGGCTTAAGCAGGAGGATTGGCACAAGTTTGAGGCCAGTTTAGGGTACATTGTGAGCTCAAAACCAGCCTGAACTACATAGTGAGACCTTGTCTTTAAAAAAAAATGAAAAGTGTATATATATATGTGTATATATATATATGATTTCATTTCCCTCTCTTTTGGTAGGTATACTCTCCCCATTTTAAAAACTGTTTTGGGCCGGGCGTGGTAGTGCATGCCTGAAATCCCGGTGCTTGGGAGGCTGAGGCAGGAGGATTACAGGGAGGTCAAGGCCAGGCTGGACTACATAGTGAGTTCAAGGCTAGTCTGAACTACATAGTGAGCCTTTTCTCAAAACAACAAAACAAGACAAAATTTTTAAAACCACCAAACAAAGCCAAAAAACCCTTTTTCTAGAGATTTCATACTTATTGGGTTTTTTTTTTTGTTTTTTTTTGGTACTGGGGACTGAACTCGGGACCTTGTGCTTGCAAGGCAGGCAACAGAACCACTGAGCTAAATCCCCAGCCCTCATACTTACTGTTTTGTGTATTATTTATTTATTTAGTGGTTCTGGGAACTGCAACCAGGGCCTCATGCATGCTAGGCAGGTCCTCTACCACTGAACTACATCCCCAGCTTGTAGGTGTTTTATTTTTCAAATTAGGTAATTAATTTATCTATTTGATATGCTGTTTTGAATTTTTAATCTTCTTGCCTTAGCCTCCCAAGTAGCTGGGGATTATAGGAGAATGCCACTGTGTCCAGCTTGTGTTTTTCTTTTTAAATACAAACTCTTAAAATAATCATGTCTAGCCACCACCCGGTTCCTCTAGGCAGTAAAGCTGTTACTACATTATTATTGAGTCTTATATAGGTACATTTTGTTGGACAGGGTTCGCACTTTTAAGATACATTTTTCTTATTTAGTGATAGTGTTGTATAATTCCTTCAGGGAACACTGATCTAGACTCCAGTTTTTCTTTCTCTTTTGAGTCCTAATACTTAATTGAAGTAGATTGGAGGAAGAACCAGCTTATACAATAAAAAAAAATTTCGTTCCTGATTATGATTTGGAAATTGATACTTATTTTGAATGTCTACTAAAAATAAACTTGGAACTTGAAGAAAGTTTTCCTCATTTTGAAAATAAAGAAGATCCAGCTGAGGATTTAGCTTAGTGGCTCTGTGCCTACCTCACAAGCACAAGGTCCTGAGTTTGATCCCGACTAACGGGGAAAAAAAGAGGAAAGAAAAGGTGATATTTCAGAAATGTATTGCACAAACTTGTTTGGGACACACAAACCTGGACAGATTTTGCAAATACTATGTATTATGCACAGTGCTTGTCACTTTCTGTGTGTTTTCATGTGTGTGTGTGTAACAACTCATATTCAGCTTTTGTCTTTGACTTTACCTTTTTTTATTGTAAAATAAAACATATTACACGTGAAATGTATACAGCTTAGTTAATTATTATAAGGTAAATATTTTTATGACCTTCATATATATCAAGAAATAGTGTATTGTATAGTATATACACTGTAGTAATTGCTTTCCAACCTTTCTTTGTA